GCAGGAACCAAGGGTTGCTGCTAATGTTTGTTGGGTATATCTTTATTTAAATCACTGGTTTTTTTTGTAAATCAATTATTGTTGGAAATGGAAGTTTCTCTTTTTGCTTTCAGGCTATATCAAGTTTAGCAAAAGCTTCTTATGATGTGGCGTGCCGGCAAGGAACTGATAACACTGGTGAACCAGAAAGCTACATTTTAACTCCTTGTTTTGAAGCCATGATTAATGAGCTTCTCAAGGCTACAGATAGGTTGTTTGTTGTGGATTGCAAGATTTTTAATGCGATCTCTTACGTAATTGTAGTAAACTGATGTTTTGTGATGATTGGTGTAATTGATTTGTTTAGAGCTGATGCTCATGTGTCTAATCTGCGTATTGCTGCTTTCGAAACACTGATGGAATTAATTAAAAATAGTCCCAAGGACTGCTATGAAGTCGTGCAAAAAACAACTTTAGTTGTACTTAAAAAACTTGAGCAGCTCTTGAATATGGAAAATTCTGTAGAATCTTCTTCTCATAAGGTTTATTTGGTTCTTGACCATTTCTGCTTTATATTATTTTTCTTCGTTCTCTCAAGATTTTTTCCCTCACTTCCGTAACGTTTCCAGATAATGAGTTAGTTATGTTTAGAGCCAGTTACGTGACTTAGAATCACTGTTGTGTGCAACTCTGCAGTCTGTTTTGCGAAAAATACGATCTGAAGATATTCCTTTTATAGGCGATGCTATTATGACGGGGCTAATACAAATTATGCAGCGGTAATTTTATCGCATTTCCGTTCTAACTTTTCAACCGAGTGGATTCTTCACCCAGATTTTCAATTTGTAATCATTCCTCTTGATAAATTTTTAATGTTTCTTTAAGTTGTGCTGGAAAAGAAAGTGGTGGCGTTATGGAAGACGCATTAATGGCTGTCAGTACTTTAGTTGAAGGTGCGCTCTGGGTTTTTTAAAACTTTTTTTGTGTTATTTGTAAGTTCAGGTCGCTTTGTTCATGTTAAAGGTTACTGGTGCTGGTTTTATAGCTGCCTCTGTTTAGCGCTCGGCAATCGTTTCGCCAATTATTTGGACGCATTTAAACCTTATTTGGTTGCTGGATTGCGCAATCATGAAGAGGCACAAGTTTGCTCTGCCGCTATTGGGGTACTTGCAGACCTTTGTAGAGCAATGGAGACGGGTTTGACTCCGTATTTAGATGAGTTCATGGAACTCCTTTCTCAGATTGTGCAGGTATTATATTTATTTAGCCAGTAGGGTAGGAATTTTCTTTTAAAAGTTTTTAGAGCAGCATAGTCAATCGGGATGTTAAACCATCAGTACTCTCCTGTTTCGGAGATATCGCGTTAGCGATTGGGCCAGGATTTAATCGCTACTTTGACCACGTAATGGACTTTTTATTAATGGCGGCAAACTCTACGCAAGATTTGGATCCAGTGAGTTTTTTTTTGGTAGTGTAGTTTTGTATTTGATACTACCTCGTCGTGTGTTAAGTGTCAAAGGGTAAATGATGTTTCACTTTGTTAATTTTGAAGAATCAAAGGGTTTTGAAAATAATTTAATTGTTAAAGATTTATTTGTGGAATGTGTTCAACAAAGAATTAACTTTCGTTGTTAGGTCGTCGTTTAGTAGTTGAAGAAGTCATCAACTAATTGAATAAAATTTTCAGGACGACTATGACAAAGTAGAGTATGTGGAACAGTTACTGGAGAGTTGCGTTGAAGCGTATACGGGTATAGTACAAGGGATGAGGAATTCTAACAGTGAATTACAGTTGGTAGCACAGCATTTGCCAGCTATGCTGCAGTTGGTAAATACCATTGCTAGTAGAACTTCACCTGAGTCGCTTATTGGTGTAGCTGCAGGCTTGGTTGGTAAGTCTTAGGTCTTGGGTGAGCGTACCTGTTTGTTTATAACTAAAACTTCTTACAAACCATAACGCTAGTTATAAGAACTTGTTATACTTAACTACATTCAACCTCGCATAGTGAGTCTTTGTCGACTACTTGGAAACTTCCACGATGAAGCAGAATTTGTACTGTCTAGTACCTGGTCTTTTACGAAAGGTGTTGGACAAATGGTTTTGACGTTATGTAATCTGCTGTATCAGATATTTTAGCATTGTTTTTAGGTGACTTGGTTACATCGTTTGGCTCAGTTGTGCTACCGTCAGTAGACAGCCATCCAGTTTCTGCTATGTTAACTCGCGGAAGGCGAAGTAAGTCCGCACGCACGAAGTCGTTGGCGGTTTGGGCCACGAAGGAGATACGAAAGCTGAAAGCGATCTCGACATCATAAAGATGGCTTTACTAAGGATTGCTCAAAAGGTTTGCTGGAAAGTTTTATTCGCTTTATTGTGTCTACTCTACATGTCATTTTAATTAGCTGACTTTGGTCACAGTATCTCATTTTTTTACCGTGGTTTAGATTAAGTTAGCTGTTATCTTTTAATTTTTGTTCTCAAATTGCTTTATTTTTACCATTTATCTCATTCCTCGGTCTGGAAAATTGTGGGGAGCAACTCGTGGTATATTGTTTTCTATGAAAATTTCTTAATACGCAAGATTTCTAAGGTGTTATTAGGTTTTTGGTGTTTTATTATGGCTGGTCTCGTAAAGTTCTTATTCCCTTGACTTTTAATTTTGTTTCTGTGGTTCTTATTGCCAGAGTTATAGTGCTCATGCTTCTCGCTTTGCACGTGGCAGGCTTCAATCTGTCAGTTGTTTACATATGCCGATTTTTGCACTTTCTTTTACAGTAGATGTTTCTTTGTCTCAGTTTTCAATATGGGTACCGTTGACTGATCGCGGAATGCGCCAGAGGCTTTCATCACTTTAATTTTCATTTGAAATTTATGTAAATATATCCTGAGTGGAGATGCTTTTGGATTGCAGGGTGTCATTTCTATACATTTACGGATATTATTAAAAAGCTTTCGCCCCCCTCTGCCCCATACTTTTGGCATTCAATAACCTGCGGATTCAGATTTTTTCGCCTCAGCCTTGCTTTTCGATACATAAATGACATTTTCTGCTGAGCGGTTTAACTCGTAACTAAATTTCTGTTTAGTTCGTTCATTTGAGTTGTATGTTGTAAAGCAGACTGTTTTCGTGTTATTTTATTATGCATCCAGTCCTGTGCATTTCTTGGGTTGTTACTGCCCGCGAGTCTGAATTTTTTTATATATAGCTTTAAAACTGTTACGGAGCTGAGGACTTGTTTGTTGGTTTGATTACCAGTTGAGATAACATCAAATTTTATTATAAACATTTGATATGATTGACTTTCATTAAGACTACGGAAACTTTCACGCTATTGTACCTGTTTAATAATTTTCCATTTGACCTACGGTCTTATGTCCTGTAGTGTGTAGAGTGCTGACGCGCAGTGAGTTCGCTAGGGGGCCAATATGCTACAAGTAGCGACGAAAGTTGAAAAGGATGAGAGATCGGCGGCTACCTGGCAAAGTAGACAGATGTTTCGTTCAATAGTAAGATTCAGAAAGTGGTAGTTCAGGAAACTTGATGCCGAGCAGTGTTTGTCTGAACTGCGCTACGTTTAATGCTACCGGGGTTTTACGTGGCGCTTAACAGCCGTTTTTTTTGTTGGCGAATTACTTCAATAGTTTTGCTCTCCGTCTTTTCGCGCTTTGATTGCTAGCCCTCCGGAAGCCAGCTGCTGTGCCACCTAAGACCTCGCCATTTTAATTCAAAAAATGCAGCAAGAGCCACCTACAAAACCTTAATGCTTTAAGCCACTTTATGCTTCTCAGTTAGACCTAGACAAGATCCTAACATTGGCCACCAGTAGCAGAATACGCGCTCTTTAATCACATAGGTTTTGTTTTAACGTTTCCACCTCACTTTAATATCTTCCTTCAAGGTGGATATGCGAGTTTATGCATGTTACTCCTGTACTCCACAAAGCGCTAAACTTACCTTCGTCACCAGCACGCCGTTTACAGTAGCTGTGAGAGTAAATATCGGTCAAAATGTTGCGTACAGACTCACCATCAGCAGAAGTATCAACTCTTCGCGCAGTTGCCGCATACTTTAAATGCTAATTATAAAGAGATGCATTACCCAACTAATGAAATAGTTATTGAGGAAAACACAAAGCAGCATTTTCAAGTACAAAAAGCCCAGGACACTCATGGCTTAAAGGATCATTTATAGTTGTCTAAAATCAAAAATCCTAAAACCTCAGAAGAAGCAGAATTAAAATGTCCCAATGACGATTATAACTTCAAAGAAACGTTTCATGAAACCATCACTTTAAAAAGCTTCACTCTAGCCAGTGACAAATCTGCGCCTCTCAGCCGTGGTAACGTTCTAAAGCTCCCTGTAAAATAAGCTTTGGAGCTAGTTAAGCAAAAGAACTAGTTTTGAAAAAACCGACTCTCCCTTCTACTTAAATTATCCTGCTTACAAAACAGAATTATATAGAATAAAGTAAGATAACAAAAGAATGCCAATAGTGAATCGGAACTCATGGAAAGAAAACTTCAGCTGTATTGGCTACAACAAATCCTGTGAGCTGCAACGGCAAACCATTACAGAGGAAATTCAAAATAATATTTTCAGAACTTTGGAGCCAAGAGACAAGTCACGTTTGGCTGAAATCACGGAAAGGTAGTGTTGAAGGATTCCTGTAATCTTTCACTGGTGAAGGAGCACGGAAACTTTTTTTTGCAGGCTCATCCATTTTCCACTTGTCAGGGCCCGGATTCACCGTCGCATTCCTTTCAAATGGTCTCTTAGCCATATTGCTTCCAACAATATCCGAACGGGGAAGCGAATACCCTGCATAGGTCGGAACTGCTGAAGAAATGGTAGAAATAAAAAAGCATTTCATCCATGAAGGCTGACACTCGGTCCATAAATGAAATGTTGCTCCGAAACGAATGAAAAATAATTCGAGCAAAAACCAACTAGACAGTTCCTCACTAAAAAGAAAAAAGAGTAGGGCAAGGGAGATCTGGTGAATTCGAGCGTGGGAACTAAAATTCATGGGAAATAAACCTGGTTGAACAGTCGATGAAGAAGCATACTGAGGTGTAGAGTACGGATGCGAAACATTAGCTGGATAGAGCACGTTAGAAGAAAAAGTTGGATATAAAGGTCGAGTTTCACCTAGAAAAGTTTCCCATGAAGTCCTTGCAATGCTCAAATTTACATTAATTTGTTAAATACCCAAGGAATCAGCTCTGACAAATAACCAGTCAATAGAGTTCCAGAAACCAGGGTTCACTCAGCTAACCACTAGGAAATCATATTATTAAGGATGTCAAAACCATAGGCATCTCCGAGTAAGGGCAAGGACAGTAAAATCGAAATATAAATGTTAGGCCTCTTTCGTACGAAGTAAGCAAAAAGCGACTTAAGAAACTTATTCAACAATGAATTCCTCTTCAAGAACTAGTTACCTGCACTGTTAATGCTCATGTATATAGACAATAATGAGCGAAAAAAGGTTTTGTCCTTGCTGGTCATAGTAGCGATAGCAACCATGAAATCCTCGAAGGTTACCCCAGCCAATAAAACATCTTTAAAATAAGTTACATATAAAAGAACAAAAACTGCACGGAAAAACGGATAACTAATAAACCGGACCTATAACTGACAGACAATGATAACCAAAAAAGCCATACCAAGAGTGTGGTCAACATCAACAAAACCACGGATATTATTTTTTTCCATTATCAACTGTCGCCGTTGCTCTTGCACTCCTGCTTCCCACTGTTCGAATTCTTTCACGTAATTATTGTACGTCTCACTTCCACGTTGCTTTCTAGACGACTAGTACAAGTGACTGGTCAACAGAGATTGCCAAAACTGAATATTCCACTAATTTTTTCAACAACAATTTTGCAACAAGAAATCAAAAAATTACTCATAATCTATTTTCCAATGTTCAAATTTTTCTTTGTGCATGACATACTGCCTCTCCAGTGTTTCCAGTGCTTGTGTGATTTTTGTTATCTAAAGCAGAAAAAATAAGGAGAAAAAATAAAATTAACAACTAAATAATGGATATAACAACCTGTACCTTGGAATGATGATTCTCTCTGAACGCAATTCTCAGAAATTAATATTTAACGAAGCGAAAGGACAGGTTACCAACTATGGGCCATTGAACTTTATTTAACCTATTTCGAAATACACTAGTTGCCTATTTAAAAGCTGCACACGCAAACCAATCCTCTACGTGGACAGAGGTTGTTGGCATGAAGGGAGGGACCACGTACTGCGAATAATATGCTTCTGGTCAATAAGTTTCGGCATAAGATTTGGAAATGAAAACTTTTTTGAGGAGGGCCTCAAAGAAATGAGAAGTTAACGCGGAAAGTATTGAAGATAATAAAAATTTAAAAAAGGATTAAAAAAAGGAGCCCTAGTGCACTGCCGCTTAGCTACCTTCTAGCACTTCTTTACTTTTTTTTTTATAAAACCGACTCATCTATTATTCTTCGATCAAGAGTATTGACTGCATTATTTCACAAACACTTTTTTTGACGGGTAATATCCATGTCAGATTTATTGCCTTTATAGAAAACTGGTACTTTTAAAAAAATAGTTAAAGAAAGGCATCTATCACTCCAAAAAATTTTTGCAACTAAAATTAATACTTCCTGTATAGTTAAAAGCGATGTTCCGAACAAAGTCAAATTCTAATTTATTGACTGTTTCCTATTTTCTTCCCTATCCCACCTGAAGGCACTTGATGAACCTACTTAAGGCGTGGAATGGAATTTCCAGCAGATGATACATACACAAAACGGAGAGGAAATGTCGCTTTGAAGCTTCTCATGCGAAATAGCAAGCAAAATAAAATTCATTACCCTCTGCTCATAACTAATCGTGTGCACACCCCAAAAAAAAATAACGAAAGGTAGAAAAAATTGAACGAATGAAGGAAACCAATATTTTAGATGCCCCAGCAGTACACCTAGAAAATCAACCCTCCTGAAGGCTCCTTAACAAACAATGAGTCCTGAAAGAGTTTCTGTCAATTTTATTCTGTATCTTAGAATCTCTCTTGAAATTTCGCAGCACTCTTCTGCTTTTTTTGAAGTGGAGGATCTTGCCTGGAAAAAAACGGAAAACTTTTTTACTTAAGATTCTACCAGGAGTGTTTCAAGTGCGCGCTCACAAGCTATGAAAGTCAGAAAATGCAAATAGCTGCAAAAATGCAAAAAACTTTCTGTAACCAATTCCGAACAATCCTCCTCCAACATCCCTGCCTAACATGAATTACAAATGATTGGACTGAGAACTAACACTGTTGAAGCCTAGGCTCAAAAGTTAAATATATTTCAACCTAACTTAAATATGGCTTGAGGGAGCTAAAATAAGTGTGAAACACATAATTTATCTCCCTGGTAAATAAACTGGCGCAAAATCTTAATAAAACACAATGACACCTTTACCTCGTCAGCCATAGTTTTATAAAATACTGCGGAAGTGACTTCAAAAACAGCCTCTCTTCCAGCTCCAATGAAAGCCTACAAATCATATGACAATCATTCAGTGGAAAAGCGTAACGTTCGTCCGGGCACTACAAAACAACGCATTTTCTGAGCTTTCTTGCTTGAAGCTTGGCACTAACAGTTGGAGAGACTGAACGTACGATATGTCGTCCTAGAGCCAAGCTAAGTGACATGCAAAAAAACCTAGATAGTAAATAAAACACTCTACAAATTTAAAAGATGTTTTATATAATACGGGCATGATTTCGGAATGGTTTTAATGTGTGCAGGATGATCGTTCTAAGAAGATCACATAGTCATAATAATGCTATAAGAACAAGCAATCAAACTAAATTAATCAGACTTATAATCGCCGTCTGTCTTTTGAGTTACGTATTCCTTCTTTGAGTCAGTCTGTGCTTCTTGTAGAAGTTCCGGAACTTCTACTGTTCATTAGAAAAATTAGTCTGATTAAGGGTCGCACACCAATCCTGAGAGTTACGTGTCCGGCTACTGTTCCTACTGGAGTATGAAGGAAAGAAATTGCGGTACTGTACCGCATAATGTGAATAATGCCAGAAACTCTACAAGCTCCTACAAAAATATAAACGAGCACAAAAACATGGTTAACTCGAAAAACAAGACCTCAAACTCTAACGCGAATTTAAGGAATTTGTTCTTAGAATTTGCTGAATAATGTGAACTGGTTCCGGAATGAATGCCGGTAATAAACGAAAAGCTTTCCAGAAATACAGGAAACAAAAAGTAGTGCAAGGAAAAGACACATGATTCTGAAAACTGATCTACAACCCCTGAACAAGCCGACATAGCTAAGTTGGACGCTCCTAGACTTTCTAATGAGTTTAATTTGGCCCTGGAACAAATTCCTCCAATATAAGTCTTTTAGAATTGCAACAGGCTTCTATA